CTCCTACGACGAAGAGACTTTCACCAACGCCACACGACCTTACAACGACGCCTTAAAATCAAGTGGATTCCCTGGAGACCTGACCTACGTTGAAAATCCGCCCAAAAGAACACGCAACCGCAAACGCAACATCATCTGGTTCAATCCACCATACAGCAAGAATGTCTCCACCAACATCGGCAGATCCTTCCTTAAACTCATAGATAAGAACTTCCCAAAGGAGAACCCACTAAACAAGATCTTTAACAGAAACACGGTGAAAGTCAGCTACAGCTGTATGCCGAACTTTGCCAACGCTATCAAATCTCACAACGCAAAAACTGCTTCGAACCACAACAAACCCGATCTGGACCACAGAACCTGCAACTCCCGAAACAAAGAGCAATGCCCACTCCAAGGAAATTGCCTGGCCTCTAACATCATCTATAAAGCAAAAGTGGAAAAGACCAACGAGGACGACCCTAAAGTTTACATCGGACTGACAGAGCCACCCTTCAAATCAGATGTGTATAAGAGACAGCACCAGAAAATCGTTCAAGAGGGAGAAACACCAACACAGCACCGAACTCTCCAGATACATATGGGAACTCAAAAAGAAAAATCAACCATTCACCATCTCTTGGTCTATCATCACCAAAGCCCAGGCATACAACAAGACGAAACGATGCGACCTATGTATATCAGAGAAGCTTGCCATCATCAACGCGGGAAGGACGGGACTCCTAAACAAAAGGTCAGAACTTGTATCGAAATGCCGCCACAAAAACAAGCACTACCTCCGAACAGCAACTCCGACGTCCGCAATAACCTAACTTCATACTACGTCCGCACAAGCAAGTCACATCACCCCACAACGTTCACCTTTCATCAGTTGCCTGACGATCGCAATAGCGAGATGTGTATAAGAGACAGCATTAAACTCCATCGAGTCGTCGGCTCCTGACGTATGTCTTAGTGACTGCTGTTTGTTTTTAGGATGTTTTTTTTTTTTTTCCTATTCTAAATTAATTTGTTTATTTAGCATTCTCTTAAATTACATTTTAGTAGGGTGCTCTAGAATATGTTGTGGAAGTGAATTCCAAATGGGCTATTAAGAAAATAAATAATTTTGGGTGTTTCACCAGATTTTAATCTTTGTTCCCTCACAGCAGGATCAAGAGAATGAATAGACCTCCTCAAGTCTAGAATCTAGCACCAGAGGGTTAGGCATCAAGTTACAAAGTGCCCCTGGAATCTCCCTGTTACAATCTTCTAAACCACCTCCTTTCCAGCCTAGCTTTCATTAAAAAAAAGGGGGGATATTGTCTTCAGAATCACTTGGTTTCGTGGACAGCTGGCTGTGTGACAGGATATGGTGTACTATAGTAACTATAGAAACACCCAGAGGCAACAGTACTAGGGCAAAATGGAGCATGTGGGATTCTGTTACGATATAGTATTCCTTTATTGTCATGTAAGCAACATGGTAAAAATGAAATTTGTGTTTGTTGATCCTATAATTATGTCCAATTCAAAAATAGTTAAAGTATGAATAAACAGATAATAAATAAATACATTTCTTAAAAGAATTATATGGATATGGAAGCAGTATGACCAGATACGGTGGAACAGTAATATAAGAAAATGTATGGGGAAAGTAATGTCGTGGCAACCCCTAATAATAATAATAATTTTTTTGATACAGTCGTATACTTTACATGATAAATGTGTGTCAAAAAACATGTTTAATTTGAAATTTACGTCATACATTTACCACATTCACTTATCTTACACTACATTATCTTTCTGGTGGCAGTGGCCATGAATATACAGGTTTATCATATGATTAACTGCTAGATTGGTAATAGGGGAATTATCAAAATCACAATAAATGAGAGTTACAAATAGACAACCAGTAAATTCATAACATTTAATGCAAGTTGTTTGCATAATATTAATAACAATATATCTGCTAAGTATTCAACATTATTCAAGCCTAAAGCTAATAACAAGTTGCAGCACAATATCTTTCTGTGAAATCATCTGGATAAATATCAATGTCAATTCTCAAAACAGTCATTAAACCAAAATAGTATTTGCATTTCAACTAGTCAGTGAAAAGTGACCTTTTATACCAGCATTTATGTAACCCTATATGTTTTTCATTGAGGAGTTTCACACATGTTAAATAATGTTATTTTTATGAGTATTCATATACAGTAGAAGCCTTTTCCTCGTAGTCACAATGCACTTAACCAGTGTACAAATGAATATTTATATAATAGTATTAACTTTGTGTTTGTACCAAATATAACTTTACTGAACAGCAGCTGTGCAATTGTAATATTTACTGCTATGCCATAAGGTAAAATTAACAATAAACCTTCAAAAGGAAAAAACATCACAAAAATAAATTCAAGTTTTACAAAAACTGACCATAACTATGGAGCATTATGACTGCTCCCTACCACAACTAAAAATGACATAGCAGAAGATTATCCTTTAAAACTGGGATGCTTGAAAGGGCTGTTTTAACACATTTTTAAAATTGTTTAAAAGCATAAGGTAAATGATTCTACAAACCAATAGCATTTACTGTACTAAAGTATGTTTTGCCAAAAAGGTATGAATTTTTTGGACTCCAAAAATTTTAAGAGGAATTTGAATATTTATGTGTCTTTCAAAGTGCATGAAATCAGTTGAATTATAATGACATTTTTTATGAGCATGGTTTAAAGTCGTTAAATAACAAAGTAAGGACTGTTATGTTTTTACTCAAGGACTTGTTAAAACACACAGAAAAGAAAATTACACCATAAACTAAACCATGTCCAACAACTACATCATGTTTGCATATTTTATGCTATTGTTTTAAATTTTCTACCTGAAAAGTACCACCATATGCAGCAAAATACAATTACAGGTAGATGTGTTATATAAAAAATAAATCAATTAACCAGCTTACATATAGACTGCGCACAACAAATTTGCATTAATGTTATTGTTAGGCCTACAGTAAAAAAAAAAAAAAACCCTAACCACCTATTAATTCTAAAGCCCTGTCGACACCAGGGGTGGGCATGAAAATTGGAGGGCAGTTGCGTATCTAGGGGAGGGCCGCATTCCCCCAGAAAATTACTTGCACCCCCCCCCAGTCGATCCCAAAAAATCAGTCAAGTAGTAATAAAAATCTCCTAAAATCACCATATTTTGCGATTTAGTACCCCTCAACTGATCATCGAGCCCCTCCCCCCACTTCACCTTCGCGCACCCCCATTTGAAGACTTCTAGATACGGTACTGTTGGAGGGGTAAAGTTAATTTGTTATTTTGAACACTACTGGTACGTGCTAGCACAGTAATTTGTTATTTTGAACACTACTGGTACGTGCTAGCACAAAGCTGAATTCAGCTTTTATAGTCTTTAATGTACTTTTTACTGACGATTAGTGTCAGGCTGAAAAAAACTAGGGTTTTATAAACAAAGATGGTAGGCGACTGCAACAAAATTGTCATTGGGCCGCATGTGGCCCACTGGCCGAACTTTGCCCACCTGTGGTCTGGTCTACACTATCAAATGTCATGTTACAAATTTGCAAGATGTGCCCATATATGGCCATGAGATCAGTTGGTAGAAGGTAATGGCGTCACAAAGTCATCTGTGCATGCGAGTTCTTGCGGTCGCATGGAATCTAGGACGCAATTTGGCCAAATGACGCCCGGTCACGGATGAGTGAATCCATTCTAGCGACGTATGGTAGCACAAATCGAGAACTCCCTGTTGTGGACAGAGCTGAATTTCGGTCTGCTTGGACTACTCAACATTATTACATAACTGCAAATTTAACTTTAAAACAATTTTACAAAAATAAAGTTTCATCTTTCTTCCAATTGAACTCGCAATTTTGTCTGCTCAGTTAAGTTCACATAAATATTATAGATAATGTCATCAGGACTATTTACACACTTATTTATAGCATAGAACTTTATTTTGGCCTTATTATAATTGCAGATTTAAGACTTAAACAGTATCTTTTTTCTCTCCTAATTAAATTTGCACTTTATCCTACACAAACATGATTGTTAATGTCATAAGTCAGATTATTTATATATCTATAATTATAGCAATGAACTTGTAAAACATCAGTTTTATGACCGATGACAGTGGTGGATCCGGGGTGGCGAAAGGTGAATCTCCCCCCCCCCCCCAACAGCAATTAGGATATTGAAATATCTGAATCCCAAAGCTTAACCAGGGGGAATAGTCCTCTACACCACCACAATAGTTAAGGGAACACCCACAAATCCTTCCTCTAGGTGCCACCCAATTTGGAAATTAGGTTATTGATTCCCACTCGCGCCACACTGGCAAGAAATCTGGGTCCACCACTGGATCAAAGTGCAGTATTTTAAAACCAAATGCTTGATTCTAATATTTTCATTATTTGAATCCTAATAAATTATTTACAAAACTTTCTGATAGTAAAGATAATATTTCTACACCCTTGAAAATATGATAAAGTGCATTCTTCAACAGACATACAATACAAAGAATTCTACAATTTTAATCAGTTCGCAAATCCAAATCACAATTTCCTGACTGTATACATATGGGACATTTTGAGCGATGTTATGCTGTGAAACAATACTATTACAACAAACTATGACAACAATTATATTACCACCTACTTCACAGGACCTACAACCAGGAGGTAGGGGAATTTCTGTGGTTTGGCTGTAAACGCCCCTTTTGAGTAAGTACCCTTGCATTAAACCATATTACATTTTTTTAAGCTTAATCACTTTTAAGTAGCTATCCCATTTATTTTTTTATCCTTCAGAAAATTCCTAAAGATAAATAATGTTTATTTCACACTACAGTATATCTTATATTTCAAATGTATATAGTCAATCAACCATGAAACTCGCATACATTGCAACACATGGCTGAACTGCATATGTTTACATTATCGTATTTACAAGCAAATACTGGTACATTACAAGCAAATACTGGTATCAATATAAATTTTCAATAAAAAAAACAATTAAAAATGCAATTATCATTGATTTTAAACAATAAAAATAAATCATATGGCTGTAATAATAACCCTGTCATAGTTGCCGTATTCGACAGTTCGTTCTTTGTTGTAATAAAATCCTGCATGTACTTAGCAAAAACGAACAGACGAAAACTGCTAAAAATACTCAACAAAACAAAATGGCTAAATAGTTACCATGATACACACTCAGTGTAACTAAGGTATAGTCTTGGCTTGTGGCTGTTTTATCATCAATTTTTTTCCTTGTATTTTGTTGGCCTATAATGGCTATTTGGACAAATATTTCAATTATTTTCTACAATCTAATCTAATTTATATTAACACAAATTTGTTTGCTAAACTGACTAATCAGCCATGTTTTTTGGGTCACAGGGATAATATGTTGCAAATTGCTCTGATTTTTGATAATTTTTTGGTTTTCAATCCAGTCGAATGAAAAAATAATTCGCGACAAAAAATCATTCTTGACAAAACGTACCAAATGTGGCCAATGTTTATATGTATTGTAGCTTTTTATATGCAAATATAGGATTTTTATTTCTCATCACACAGTTGCAGTTGGTGCTGAAAGTCAGTGAATGTCAATTTAATTTTTCCTATGCCTTGGAAATGTCAGCAAAGTGTTGGAAACTTTTAAATAAATGCTGTGCTTAACCTCTCAGTATTGAATTTATTTCCCCAGGATTTAAAAGGCTACAAGGTCATGCCAATTAAACCATATGGCTTCCATAAATTGAATCTATTTTACTCTACCACAGATCTTATTCTGAGAGAGTAGCCATTACTCATGCTCAAACCAAGCGCGAGAAGAGATTACCATTTTTAATAAATCCAGAAATGGCTCCTCTATTTTAATTTCTTACTCAGGCTGATTAATCAGAATTAATTTTTACAATGATGACGTTTCTAATCAGTATTTTGAAAAATTGATGATAAAGCATCAAGGGTAATCATAAGAGAAAAAAAAAAATTATGGGAGTTCAAATGAAAGTCACAATTTCAATTCATACATAATGAGCCAAGTAATTGCACTGATTATCAGAGGTCTGTGCATCACATCAAGATAGCCTCTTATCACTTCAACTTCCAATGACAAAACATTAAATTGAACACTACAGAATGTTTAATGAACGCCTGGTTGTCAATCCCTGAACTTGTGTTCCAAAACCGACCTTGAATTTCTAAATTTTGGCTGTAAGATATCAGAAATTTAAAAAAACAAAAATTATTGATTACATTAATGGTCCAAATTGTCTGATTTCTTGTTGAATCAATAAGAACCCGATTAAATCCAGTCATTATATTTTCCAAGGTTCTTCCAACTGACGGCAGGTTTCTTGAGTGTGTTTTGTTGAGGAAATTTGTTTGGCAAATGGGAATTTTAATGACGTCTTGTATGGATTCAAATTATGGAAATCAGAAACATAACAGGGAATTTTCTGTTATTTTGTACAGTAATTTCAATACACAATGTAATCCAGAAACTGACAATTTATAGACAGGAGGATATAATCTCATATTTTTCTGGGGATTTGAGACTAAAATTAAACTTCTAAATGCCACAATAAAAGCATTTGTAAAGTATGAGAGTCACTGTTAGAACAGGTATCCATTTCTTTAAATTCGTCAAACAAGACTTTTCTGAATTTGCCACTAATCTAACAAAATGCCTAAACTAACATCTCTACCTGTCTTTAAGTGGCCGCCAATTGTCTCAAAATTCTAAAATCACTTATTTTTTACAATTCCACATGGTTCATACAATAGTAAAAACAACCTCTTGATAGGAGAATGAGTATACTGCAGAAACTAGGTCAAAATTACTCTAAACAGAGTACATTATCAGAGAAGCTGCTATCAGCCATTGGTCATCTGTCAACACATTCCATTTTACAAAGGAATTCCACCACCACAGCATAGAGTATATCTGCACAAGGGTTAACAAACATTGGATTGTCTATATTGCATAAGGCTATGTGCAACAGCACACAGAACCAACTCACACATGCTACGATTCTAGATCACTTTAATATACATATGTCATAATATACACATGATAAAATTCTAGTTTTCGGTTTGTTTGGTATTTATGAGAATGTAAAGAATGTTCCACGCTCATATTTATTCTAAGGCGTTGGCAGGAGTTTCATGAATTCTTCTGGTGTGAGATTCTGATGTGTCACAACCACATCTGAAAATTGTCTTTTCATGAACTCTGGGCTAACTTCTGCCGAGCATGGGTGCCCACCATCCTGTTAAAAAGAAAATCATAAAAAGTTAAACATTTCTTTTTTTTAAATCTTTTATACAACTTTTAATTTTATTCATAGTAATCATTTTCTGTTCTGTTTTGTCTTGATAGGGCTTAAAAATTTGATTCAATTCAAATGATTTCTGACAAAAGTAAATCATTATAATTTTTTTCATAGAAGTTGTAAGTCTATAAACAGAGATGAGCTTAAAACTAATGTCTTTTTCACTTATGCTAAGTGAAAAATTAACACTCAAAGAGGGCAGCAGACAAGCTTTCTTTAAACAATGTTACAAAATCTGGTACAGTATTGTATTGTAAAACACAAAAACATGTGTTGTCACACCCATTTTTTGAGTATTGTTACAAAAGTACACAACTAGCACAAACAATACCAACTTGTGCTATTTTGTGGTGTGAACAAAAATTGCCCAAAATTTGTTTTATATTATGAATATAACATTTAGCCTATGTAATTTTAGCTCTTATGGGTCCCTAGGGCCCAACGAAAGTCTATTTCAATTAAGAAGAGGACAAGAAATAAGTCATTTATTGAGTAATTGTGAAATTAGGGGTTGGCTTAAAAATGGGTCAGAGTGTCAAAGTGATTTTTTAATATAAAAATGAGGGCCACACCTTCTGTACACTTTCCTTCCAAAAACCTTCATGCACTGCTTTCATACCACTTCATTCTCAATTTTAACATTTTTACAGATGATCGGTGTCAGGCCGTAAAAAGGGGTTTTCTAGCCAAAGATGGTTAGCGGGCAACACACAGGATTTTTAATTTATTTTTGCGAGTTGCAACCAGACCTCGGCAAGGGCCAAGGTGACTATACGGGCATTCACAAAATATTGCGCTACTGTATTTGTGGTGATGTAAACATAGCAACCAACAAAACCAGTGAGACCTCAAGTGTTAATCCGGCAGTTTTCATTTTTACTGTTAAGCGCATTGAGGCTTTAGCATTATGCGCTATCTAAGCCAAAATTATTATAATTATTATTATTATTATTATTATTTTTATTATTATTTTATTATTAATCCTGGCATCAGGTTTTCTTGTTCTGTTTGTTTAGTGCCAATGATAAAAAGGTGTAGTAGCTGTGGCCGCTGTAGGATAGGGGGACTAGAGCTCATAGGCCGGAGATTGTGGAAGATTTTGAGAGGGTGTTCCCTTTCCAAATGAGATTTTATTAAGAATAGGAACCTCTGCATGACCAGAAATGACAATTAGACTATGACAAACATGTGTTGGCTTGGCATGGGCCTATTCTTATATTTGTTTTAGTCCAACTGCCGGACAAGCTCTGTTTGATTTGGGAGGGGATTGACCTGTCCGGCGGGGGGCCCCCCCCCCACATTATCTATGGTCGGAGCCAACAATGGTTTCACCATACTGTACTGTACGCAGTAGTCAGGATTATCCTGTCAAGTATCAAGTTTGTTTTTATCTAACCACAACAACCACAACACAATACTGTGTCTGTAGAACCTGATCCAAACCACAGTATAAAATTGTTTTTGGAGTGTAGATAAAAAAATTTTCTGACCATACTAACCAGGAAAGCCCCTAGACTCCAATCCATCACATTAAAAGTAAACAACATTCCATAAATTTTTTCCTCTTCTCATACAGTTTACTAGTCTTTTCAAGGGTAGGGGGTATTGTCTTTCATTAGTTATAGCTTTATTATTTGTCAAAATAGAAAATTATTAAATAGGGCACGATGTCATATCATAACAAACAGATATCTGGAAAGTCGCTTTTGCCTGTTTACAAAAAACAGCATAACATACATGTCACATACATACATACATAACCCATACACACACACACACATGAAGGGTATCCTAAAGGTTCCTTTGCTTGAAAGCATAGGAACCAAAAATATAACTTTCAGGCCGCATGTTACGTGGCCCGCAGGCTGCACTTTACCCGTCGGTGCTCTAAACACTTTGATAATCACTGAAAATATCGTCATACTTAGAATTATTATCACATTATTTTGATTATCATGATTATTACTAAATGTAAATACTATCTCACCTTCCAAAAAATACAATTGCAATGATTGCACATATTCAAGACATTGTTGTAGAGCTCTCTCGTACCATGACGATGGTATAGCCTCGCATACAGACCCTTCCAATTTAGTTCATTGTCAGTATTACAGAATTTATGAGAAACAGATTTTATCTGAGGAAATAAAAACAAAGAACATTTTTTACTTTACCTATATTGATGTAGAAGATGGCTGGGGCATATGCTAAGACAAGACCAAGAGAATGACTGCAACATTGCATTGACAAGGGCACCGTTAAGGAAAGCGTAGACGAGGAAGACCAAAAACAATACGAAAACGAAGGGTGGAAAAAGAAAGAAGCACAGGAGGATGGACTTGATGGGGAGAACAGGAATAGATGGACGCATTCTGTTGAGGCCTTAGGCGTCACTTGACGAGAAACAGATAGGTAAGGTAGGTACATTGATTATTGTATTTAATACAATTACAATAATGTACCTTCTTTGGCAAGTGGTGAATGTCTACATTTTTTTATTGGATTAAAATTTTAAAATTAACTACATTACATATTAATTCTCATACTACATTGTAGATTCATATGAGAACATGAGGAACACCAACAAAATATAACTTTCTTAGTATATGCTTAAGATGAACTACTGCATTAATCTGCTTTAAACATTTTTTATAAATTCAAATTTCAGCATTCATATCTAAATGTTCTAAAATATAGTCAACAGCTCTAACAATCCTGCTTTTGAAAAAAATATATGGATGATGTACTAGCCATCATACCAGACAATAAGTCTGGTACCCATTCAATATCTAATCAAATCGATGACACACGCAACATCAAATTTACATGCGCAACCCAAAAACTGAATTGCTTTTCTTGGCACTTAAATTAAAAAGGGGAGCAATGGACAGATTACAATAAGTTTTGCTCAGGAACAGACAAAGCAGATGGAAAACATCCAGAAGCACGTCTGCAAAATAACATTTCAGGGGTGTTTATTTGAATAAATTAGGTAGTTTTTTTTTATTTTAAAAAATAGCTTATCCTTTACCTGCGTTTCAGTGAAATTAAAACGACACAGCCTTTCCCATCGCAGTGAATATTCGCTTGTGGTGTGCAAGTATTTGCAAGTTGCACCAAGGTTGACAATGTCTTCTGCATTTGTCAGGTATGACATAATGTGGTTTATACAGTCAACCGGTAGATCAGTTAATGTTATCGCTTCACTTTCACTTTCAGCAGGCTGAAAAAAATCGAAAGATGCCTCTTAAGCAGGGCCACCAGTACAGTTGGTCAGGTTTCAACCTGACGACTTTTTGACAGACCACCAGTTAATTGATTAGGTTTTGAATAGAAAAAAAATAAATAAATAAACTTCACCTGTATGTTTAGACTCAACCTACTCCCTCTTGACATAACTCAAGAAACACAAGTCTGTGAATTCTGGGGTGAACGGTTAATGATAGTTTAATACGTTATTTTCTTCTCTTTGGTGTACGATTTATAATGATTGATTAAGAACCTAGGATGCACTTTTTCTTCAGTTGAAATTCAGTGTCTATGTGGGCTTAGCTTTTATCCAAATCAGGTAGGTCAATTACTACACACAGTGAGCTTTTGCAGAAAATCAGACTAAAAGATTCCCCTTGTCTGGGACTTGTATTCGTTTCTTCACTAAATTACTTTGTCAACTGACAAGAAAAAAAACCATGCCTTTATCTGTATATTTATTCCTGATAGTTTTAGTATGCAACATTATTTTCTGTAAATGAATATTGTAAATATACCTTTTTTTAAGCACTTCTCTTAAATACATGTCAAGCGCGGATCATTTACCCTATCGCACAGATGGGTTCCCATAGTAGGCGGAGTGATAAAAAGAGAGCTTGTTCTGTCAGAGGAAGACAAATTTTAGATAGGCCTATGGGGTGGGAGGAGTCTTCGGTTCATCCTACGAAAAGTTTTTGTTTATTAGATGCTTTTGTGCATTATGAGACGTCTATTATTGAATAAACTCTGGATTTATAGATTTTTCCCTATGGACAATTAATAATTATGATGATAAAGAAGATGATGATGAGGAGAAGGAAACTAGGTGATGACTGGCTCCTGTGCAAGATTAATTAACAGGCCCTTTGGTGTGACGTGTCAATCGACGCCCGTAGCCTGAGTTACGGTTGGGAATTTGGCGACATTATTGTTGTCGTCAAATGTTCAATGCACACAGTCCCAAAAATTACATTCATTCACCAAGTGGAAAGTTTAACCTAATAATTTTGACATGTTTTATGTTGTTTGTTGAATGGACTTTAATGATATAACAGTCTAATATGACCACATCAAAGGAAATCTTCTCTTTTAACTTTTAAACTTCTAAGCTTCTAAACTTTGCGTATAGCTCAATATAGGTCTACATGTATATTTCCTTAAATCATAATGAAGTTTACTTGTTAAATTAGCACAGATAGTACAGAAAATTTTGATGACTGTCAATCTTAGATAGGCCCTATATTTATGCATGCACTGACGTGAGAACTTTAACCTAATAACTTTGATGTTTTTTCGTTGAATGGACTTCTTTAATAATAATATTACAGTCTACAGTCTAATATGACACAACATAAGGAAGTCCACTTGGTTATCAGTGTCATTATACACATTACATCCAAATTCCAAGACATTACATTTTATGCACGCACCGAAGGGGAAAGTTTAAACATAATAATTTTGATATGTACATGTATGCAGGCCAAGAAATTTGGAAAAATTCGGCAGTCTCTGCAATTTTTACTACCTAGGCCTATATAGTATAAACTACGATTTTTCCGAATGCCCGAACTTACATCGTCATCTACAGATTGTGATTTTGTTAATTTCTCTATTAAATCAATATATTGCTGGTGAAAGAATGGTCATACTTGTATTAATTTAATAGTGTAGCATAATACATATGTTTTACATAAGAAAATTGCCGACTAAATTTCATTTCAGCGTTTGTTTTATCGTTATCTTAGGCATGGGAAATATCACTTTCGTAACAGCTACGATCCTATCATCACAGGCTGCTTCAAAACTGCCCATGCATGTTCATGCACATGCCCAGAATGATCTATAAGGGATTTTTCCACACATGTACAGTACTTGTCAGCAAAGAGTATATAATACTCTTTGTTGTCAGTTAGTGAAGTCACGATGCGATCATGATTGCATTTAAACGGACGGTGGGATTAGGCCTACAATATGAATTTTGTTGTTTTCAGATAATAAACAACATTTTAAATATTATGATAATACTGTAAAATGAAGACAAATAATAGATTTAGATAAGCATTACAATCTACGCGGCCCACATGGCTTCAATTGTGCGATGTTGTAAGCCTTGGCTGGCTAGCGTCCTACCTAGGCCTAGCCTTATACGAAAATGACCATGCGAGAAAGACAAGACGATTGTACACAAATCGTACATACTGCATGCCTATTAGAAATAGTTATTGTAATGTTGATTCTTAGATGGCGGGAAATAAGGTTTCCCGACTTCTGATGTGTTTTTTCTTATAATAAATTAAATAGGTCTATAATATGTGTGTATATAAAAAAAAATATTGAGTAGTTGCATAAGTATTCTTTTTTTCCATGAATCGATAAAACCCAAAGAGAAATGGGGTTGGGGGTTCTCCCCTGGGAAAATTTGATTCCCGACTTCTATATTTTACATTGAATAAAAAAAATTTAACTCACAGGCACTGTTATTGTTTTTTTCTTCTTTTTTTTATGAATTTTTTTTTTTTGGCCAAAAAAAAAATCGTAAAAATAACAAATCCGCCAATGCCTCCCATTCAACTATACATCGCCACCTTTCCCACTCGTTCAACACCGTGTGGAGCATGGGTATATGCTAGTCTGTACAAATAACATAGCACAGTCTTTTCCTTTGCACATATACATTGGCATATTACATACTGTATGTGCCAAGAATATGCAATTGCCATTTTTGTTCAAAACTTACCTTATAATCTATTGAGTTGAGTTGATCGATCCAATCATTTACCATTTCCAACCACTTGTTCCATGTTTTAGGGCTACCCACGTGAAACATATGAGAATTCTGGAGTTCCCTTGAAAGTACATGTAGAATTTTTTTCAACCTGTTCACAAACAGTTTTGATTCAGTGACTACAAAAAAAAGTTGTAATTAAATGTTAAAGTACTGATATTGTTATTGGGGAATTTGAAATCGCAACTGCAGAGAAATTGGCAAATCCTTCACCATTCACTCTCCTTTCCAAAAACAAAACATCATTCAATAGACCGATTAGGCAAGGTTTGTTTACAGCCAATCACTTGACATATAATGGGTATAACTATGGAGAACTTACAGTGCGATCTGTGGGAAAGTATAGGAAAATACTTTTTCTGCTGATCAGCGGAAAAACTCTTTGTGTCAATGCGCGTAGGTACACCCAAAAAGTGCCATGCGGTCTGCGTAGTAACTTAAATCTATTACATCTCCTCGTGTGGATATCGACACCCTGCCGCTTGGCTTGTTTTCCACTTTTTTTTTGAATTTTTACTCTGGAAATTCATTCAAGGGATCGATCGTGTGCAACGGTCCCTTTGCCTTTTGCCGTAATAAATCATGACCGAATCACACTATATTGGATTATGTGTTACTTATTGTTTATTGTGTATTGAGGGTAGTGGTCAAGAGTGGACGGGTCCACATATTTAATTCTATGACCAGTAGACACAAAGGTAATTTTATGGTTTTGAATAAATAACCGCCTGCTATTAACATGAGATATAACTGGAAAGGAAAGGCACTACGATTGTTCAAAATAGTATTTTAATTTACTTATTATAGCATTCTCTGAGGTTTGTATGCTTTGGAATTTATGTGACCCTTTCATACCCACTATACATCACATGACCAACCTAGCGGAATTGGTCTATTGAACAAGTAACATGGGATGCAAAATGGAGGATCATATTAAATTGGTATGGGCTGCATATATAGACTACAGTACTATAATTTCATTTTTTGTATTTATAAATATTCTTACCAACTACAACTGATTCTTCCACATTATGGAAAAAATTTTTCTGGGCTAGTCCACTCAAAGATGACAACCAGTTTTCACTTATGATTTCCAGAATCTGAATGTAATAAAAAGGTTAAGAAACATTGTTTCATTGTGTTTAATTATCACCCAATATTACGTAGACTTAATTTTAAATATATACAGTAACTTAGTTCTGTACTTGTGAATATAAAAGCCCTGAAGAGCATTGCTGATCAATCACCATGGTCCATATCTTACCCTACAGACATAGTTGAATCGTTTTGGGTCTCGAACAGCAGACGAGAAATCCAAGCGGTTTAGAACCTCTCCAATAGTGAAGTAAAAGCCAGTCTGTAAGTTTGAATTAAGAAAAAAAAAGTGTTGAACTTTTTTACTATGTAGTCATGTCAAATACATTTTCATTGTTTATTGAAAATGATTTATACAACATATATCCTCAATCCCATGTTATCTATTTTGATCAAGCCCTTTGGATGTCCACATTATCCATGTAATGGCGTATCTTGGGGGAGGGGGGCACGCCCCTCCAAAAATTAACCCCCCCAAAAAAAATCAGTCAAGTAGTTAAAAACTAAAAAAGGTGGTCTAAAATCACAATATTTTGCGAATTAGCGCCCCTCAACTGATCATCGAGCCCCCAACTTCATAATCACGCGCCCCCACCCCCATCAGCACCCCTATTTCAAGACTTCTAGATACGCCACTGTGTCAATGTCAAAATGCAACCTTAAGGAATACTATTCAAAAACACACAATTTGTGTTACAATTAATTTAAAATCAATCTCATGTGAGAAATATAGATAAACATATTAGATGAAAGAAACTTAGAATTACTATTTTTCTACAAGTTAGAATACATCAAGTTAATAATAGTTTCCGTAACTCATATTAGTTAAATCATTAGAATAATTTATCAACAAAATCTATTGTACTTCTGGTTGTAAAAGCACATAGAAGTCTTCACATTATGCACTATATGAATTCACAATTATTATTTATAAACCTCAATTTCGGAACTTCCAGTTAATAAGTGGCCTATTATATTTAGTATAAAACAATCAGTGTCAAATCTGATAACATTAAAAGGCATCACCACACGTGCTAGGGTTTAGCCAGAGATTCTACACACACATTTTTTAAAGTAAGTAACATACCTCCTTAGCACCGCCTCTTGGAAAGAAAATGTAACAGGCATGATCTTAAAGGAAAATGACAAAAATGGATTATTAAATTTTAATTCAGAATTACTGTACAGTACGACTAGAACAAAAGTATAGAACAGTCACAAAAAAGTACAAAAACAAACTTGAAATCCTGAAAGCAAAACAGGTTCAAACTATAAATCCTGACATACAAAAAAATGCACGTGAGAGTTGTCTTATGCAAGAATTTACAGTGTACATTTAGTGATAGACAAATAATAACTATTTTCTTAGTATTGTAAGTATAACCAAATTATGTAAAACTGACATAGACAGGCCTACTGTACTGTAAATATGAAGAAAATTGACATTGAAATTGGTGATGATGTTTATGTGGATAATGATGATGAAGATGGTGATAATGATGAAGATGATGATAATGATCATGGCCATGATGATCATGATATGTTTATGATGATGGTGATGTTAATGATTATGATAATGATGTTGGTGATGGCAACAATGATCAGATTGGTGATGATATTGGTGATGACAATGATGGTGATGATGATGATAATCAGATTAATGATGAACTGATGATGACGATGTAAAATTGCAAGCCCGTAGCCAGAAATTAAAGAGGGGGGTTCTTTTTTAGATAAAAGGGCACTTGCGAGCGAAGCAAGCACACCAGGCTGGGAGGTGGGGGCCCGCGGAAGCTACAGCATTCTTTACATATACACACCTTATTTAATTGCTCTAATATACACCCATCAGCAACAACAAAAAGAGCAAATTATTTTAGTTACTGGCAAAATGACATGATCCTGGTATGGTACAATCTCCAAATTGTAATCATAAATAGTAAATTTGCCTCCTTTTGGATGTTGTTTTGTACCAACTAATTTACACATTAACAGAAGAAAAACAGGAAACAAAGAGCACTGAGACAAATTTGCTCGTTAGTTCTTTTTATTACAATTACCAGACACCATCCCGGTATTTTCAGTGAAGGTTTCTGGTCATAAATGTACTTTTAATTAAAGAAAAAAGCCATACTAAAAACTGCATTGGTATTCATTTACATATATAT